TTTTAGTCCATTTTTATGGACTGCTCAGGAATAATCCACAGATTCCCAGATGGCAGGCTACAGGTTGAAAACCACTGATCTACAGATATCATTTGGATAATCCTCCTAAGGTTTTAATATTCAGTTAAACTTGAACACTTTCCAAATATCGGTGTAAGACCAAGACAGTTACAAGCACCACTTTTTATTTAAGATACAAAGTATATCTAGACAACTGATTAATGATATAAAGCCCATAAACAAGTGCAAAAAGAATAAATGTTCCAACTGTGGCATCTAAGTGGTTCTGAATATACTGCCTTTACAGAACAGAGAGAAGGAGAGAGGTAAAAATATATGTCAGCATTTTCAATTTCAAATAAGGTTAATTTAGAAATTAGATTAAAGTTTCTAGTGCATACTGCTAATGTTTTCTACTGTTTAATTTTCTATAGGACCACAGCACTAATCAAAGGGTTGTATTTAATCATTCAAGCATGACCTCCATAAATTAATATTTCCTCTCTCTATATCAGTTACTTATTTCACGATATTTATTTACTAAATCAAACATACACTTACTATATCTCTGAAACTCAGTGAACCAGTTAATAATATTTTTTTTCTAATTAAGCTACTCTCCTAAAGTTCAAGTTTTAGCTTCCCGGAGACCTGAAGTGTGGGGTTCTTTACCTCCTATTGAACTATCTATCTCTTCTCTATCTCCTTTCCCACCAAAAAGTAAAGAATTCATTGTCATTAAAACCAGTTATTCCTCTTCTAAGTATTACAAGGGTCTGGAAATGGCAAAGTCTGAATTTCAGAATCATGTTAGGTGTGTGAGCAGAATTCTACTATGAAGGACCTATAGAGCAAGAAGTTACTTAAGAGAAGGTAAGTGTGCATTAAGAGTAGGCACACTACAGTGCACCAGCAATCTGGAAAAATGCCTAAGCCCTTCACAAGTATTTTTTCTGCTTTACAGCTTTTACCTTCCCTCTCTCACCACAGTCGAACAGGGTGCTCACACATGCTGCCAACTTCAAGCACGTTAAGTACTCCCTCTGCAATACAGGCATGCAGTATTTTCAAATATAGCACCACACATATAAATGCCTGAACCTGGACCTGTGTCTAGAAGTGTAATCCCTGTTCAGGGAGCTCTCCAATCCTACCTTCAGCTGGAATTCAGAAAAGAACTATTTAGGAAGATGGTTTAATCATATGCTTAACTTAAACAACATGCTTGAGCTTCATTCAAATCAATGAGAAAGATGTGTACAACTGTCTAACTGAGAATATTGAAGCATGTGATCCACTGTTCTTTTTTTTTAAAGAAAAACTAGTCACTATATTTTTATCTTTTAATAATTCTGTTGGCCATTTCCTCTTGTATGTTTTGTTCGTTGTAAAAGCCTTAGCCGACTGCAGCAACGATGCATACAATTTGCCTTGTACCTCAAAGTCAGCATACATTTTTGACTTTCTTCTGCTTATTTTGCTTCAAATATTCACGCTGGACTAGCCTTACTTTTGTTAGTCTTGCACCTTTTAAGTTTTCATTACACTCTGCGGCTCTGTTCACTTACAGTGGTTTCTTTGTCTTTCTATCAATTTAGATGTAAAAAGGATAATTTAGGAAGGTGGGAGGATATAGAGTGGGAAGTGAGGATGAGGAAAGCTTCTTCAAAAAGTTTTCCCCATTTTTTAGCTTGTCATGCAGCCTTATATAAAAACAACCTCCTCCGTCCATGGCAGGCTGGGCTACTTTCTCCAGCTCATACTATGGATTCCATTCAACAAAACAGTAAAGCTCTTGCTTAATTTTAAGTGCATGCATAAATTTTATTATCTCCAGCAGTCATGAGTTAAAGATAAACATAAGCTGAAGTGCTTTGCCAAGTAAGAATGAACTTACAATTGTTCTCGATTTGCTTCGTTGAATCTTGGCCTAAAGGTTGGCCATTCCAGCCTTCCCCATTGCTGGAAAGCGTTCAAGACGTTCAGTACTCTTTATTATCTCTCCCTGTCATCTAGTCTGATGCCTCCGTACTCATTTCTTGTTCTCTGTGGGAAAGACTAAGGTTCTGGTGCTGAGCCTGATCCCTGGCTGCCACTGTCACTAAATCTTAGCTCAGCACAGTTGAACTGCAGCTCTTTCAACAGCCGATCATATGTGAATATTCTCAAAAGCAATGCAAGCCTCTGCTTTGAACCCAATTAATTATTTATTTTTAAGCTGTGTATTTATTTTTAGAACAAAGGTGCTGGGCTATTCAAAGCGTAATGTAGGAGTCTTTGTACACTTTTAGAACCTATTTTCTAGAAGAGTGTAAAATAACAAGGCTACAGGCTGTAACGACTCAATATTCATTGAATTGCTCCCAAGTAACACTTCCTTGGTATAAAATCCTAAACTACAGTTAAAGAAAGGTAAGGTTTCAAAGTCCCGGGGAGATTTCCATTCCCTTGAGACATTGAGGCCAGGTCTGGGGCTTCCAGGCATTCATATGGAAGTGGAGCTAAGTCAGTGCTGGATGCTAACAGAGATCCTGCCTAGAGTAACCAATAGTGTTTTGTGTGTCATTTTCTCTACAA